AAATCTAAAAGTGTTCACTTTATTACAGCGTAAGATTAAGTAAATACAAATATGGTATATAATGCAAAGAAACAGATACACACATTGCCGGATTCAAAATTCCCAGCCACCATGCATTTTCACCATTAAATGCCTTAAACTTAAACAATGTTTGTTTGATCAAAAATTTTATGCAATTTTAAAATTGGAAGCGGAAAATTTGAATTTGTAAAACCGGGGAAAACTTAATGATAATTTAAAAAATTAAATGCAACGTGACTCGATTTAAATGTGTTCGGTACTTGTGTTGCTTTACTAGCATAAAATAAATAAAAATTACATGCTTGTTGCTTTGCTTATTTTTGTTAGTACTGACCTGTACTTGTACTTTTTTCAAAAAGGCGGCTTTGACTTACATCCATTACGTTTTTACAATATATTTACGATTTGTAAGCCTCTGTATGCTCTAGAATAGAATATATGTACAAATGACTTTTAAAAGTGATTTTCGTGAAAAGTACTTACGAGGTTGTCGAATATAGCCCAACAAAATATGTGCATGTATTTGTTTACAACAATAAAACGAATGTGAAATAATTTCGATATATAGGAAATGAAACATTTTTTCGAAATATATAAAATCGGAAAATTTGGAAAATTAAATAAGGTACATAATTAATAACTTTTGTACCTATAGTAAGAAATATGGTAGTCTGCTCTAATATTAGACATAACTGGTTGATGACTACCGTCTCAGTCAACAGTGACCTTAGGATAGGCCGTGACCTTAGGAAAAGGAAAACGTGCTGTTGTTCATATTATGAGTATATGTAAGTAAATTGCTAGTTAAAAAAAATACAAATCGAAACTTTTTACCTGTTGCAACATTTCTTTTTCTATGTATGAATATTGGAACAGTTACCTGCCAGCTGTGACTAGGGACCTATAGAGAATCTGAAATGTTGGTTTGTTTGAAAACCAAATATACGCGATTCAGATAAAAAAAATGTGTCATTTCTTATAATTTCTGATATTAAACCCTAATAGTACTCAGTATAGCATTATAGTGTATATATGTATGAACAATAATTTCATCCGAGGTTCATTTACTTTTGGATTTTGTAGTTTTATTTTCAAAGTATTAAAATCCAGTGATCTGGATCTATGATGTTAGTTTTGTATGTTAAATGAAAAAGAAAATTGATCGGTACTTACCTTTGGTTCACAAAAACTAATGTAAAGAGTTGCTCAGTAGGTAGGAGTTCTCTTTTACACACTATGTTACAGTTATACTTAATTATTATATTAATTATCAATTTTATTTAGCAGTAATAATGACCATAATATTTTACATGATTTCTATTAACCACGTAATATTACGTTACATTATTGTCAATTTACAAAAATTCTAACATTAATTATTTATATAAATAAATAAATAACGCACACACTCATAGCCTCGCACTAGGGAAACCCTGTATCGCGAGTGTTATGGACACGCACATAGGTAGACAACCACAAATTACACCCAAACTCATGAAAAAAGTAAATATAAGCCATACAAATCTTTCTCCCGGCCTGGGAATCGAACCCGGGACCTACGTGTGGCAGTAGAGTATACTGTAGAGCCTAAAAGAAAGTTTTATATGTTTCATTTTTTGAAGATGAATCGAGTTCTTGACGGATGACCGGAGAAAGTGACCGGTAGCCGCTGGACGCGTGCACCGCAGTACTCTTGAAGTACGAAATCTGTAGTTAAAATATTTTCCCACTATAGATAACTATGGAATTACTCTCGAAGTCTGTCATCGAAAAGACGGTAGGTTCAGTAGCAGAAGAGCTCCTTGCGAAAGAAAGAGTCCGTCCACAAGTACTGCCACCTTACCGATTTCTACCACCAAACGGTAATGGTAACATTATTACGTACCGGTTTTGAAGGGACTTGTCAATTTATGTCTCAGGATAACGAGCTCAGTGGTAGTGCCTCTGAGATCTTCGTGACTTAAAGCTCTGCTCGGCACTACAACTGTTATGGACAGGCGTGTCACTTACCACCAGGCGCACGGTTTGTTCGTCCCGTCACTTGATATTTTTTATATATGTATTAAAAAAAGGCGGGCCGGTTCGAAACTGTAAATTCGCGTTGTCATACATTCTTGGTTCAGGTCCCGATCGAAACTCGTATCTACAGATTCGAGTTTCACATCATCCATAGTGGGAAAACCGCTGTTACTACGAATTTAGAGCTTCGAGAATAGGGCCCCAGGACCGGGAGAGTGAGCGTGCTCAAGAGGGCCTCCCCTTTGTCTAGCTGTGGATGCATGTAAGCTGATGATAATGATGATGAATCGAGTTCTTCAGGTTTTTACGATTGCTACACATTGGAAATGAAACAATTTTTTTTTCGGATATAATTTTAGACCCGGATAAATAAAGGTTTCATATCCAGTTTTGTTTTGAATTTCTGTTTTATTCCTATTATTGCGCGATGCCTTAGTTTCAGTACCTCGACCTAAAAAGTTTCTAAATCATCTCACTTTGTGGGTAACTCTTAAAATCATCACATGTTACTTTTCACACATACATCGTCATCGTCACATGTTAGACACAACTCATTCGTAAGACCGATTTGTTTCGAAGAATGAGTAAGTAACTGATGAATGAAGTGACTAGGAGCTTAGTCTAAATTGATATTTGCACAAATTTATAATTGAAAATATTTATTTTAAATATCAAAGATTGAAACAACTTGAAACAGTTAATCACTACATGGATTTTTGTCATCCAAGTATGAAGAAGTATGAAGTTTTTGTTTCATTATAGTTTTAAATGCCAAATTTTGAATATCAACCGGAATCTTATTATTGAAGCGTATACATTGCCCCAAAAATGAATTTGTGGCTTTATGAAAAGAACAATCAGCTTTATTTTTATGCTTTGTTTTGACAGTGTCCATCTATGTCTCATAAAAAGTACTAATTACTTCCGGTGTTAAGGTCGCTTGCGTCCGTATAAAAATATTTTTTTTTTGTTAATAATATTTAGCGACGGGATGAACAAGTCGGTAGGTTCAGTAGCAGAAGAGCTCCTTGCGAAAGAAAGAGTCCGTCCACAAGTACTGCCACCTTACCGATTTCTACCACCAAACGGTAATGGTAACATTATTACGTACCGGTTTTGAAGGGACTTGTCAATTTATGTCTCAGGATAACGAGCTCAGTGGTAGTGCCTCTGAGATCTTCGTGACTTAAAGCTCTGCTCGGCACTACAACTGTTATGGACAGGCGTGTCACTTACCACCAGGCGCACGGTTTGTTCGTCCCGTCACTTGATATTTTTTATATATGTATTAAAAAAAGGCGGGCCGGTTCGAAACTGTAAATTCGCGTTGTCATACATTCTTGGTTCAGGTCCCGATCGAAACTCGTATCTACAGATTCGAGTTTCACATCATCCATAGTGGGAAAACCGCTGTTACTACGAATTTAGAGCTTCGAGAATAGGGCCCCAGGACCGGGAGAGTGAGCGTGCTCAAGAGGGCCTCCCCTTTGTGCTTTGTGCTCGTGCATCTGATGTAAGCTACACGCCTGACCGTAACAGTTGCAGTGCCACTCAGAGCTCTAAATCGCAAAGATGTGAGATGCACTGCCTCTGCGCCCATCGCCCTGAGACATAAGTTGAAAAGTCCCATGTGCCTGTAATTTTACCAGCACCCTTACCCTTCAAAACAGGAACATAGTAATGTTGAAATTACTGCTTGTCGGCAGAAATAGATAAGGTGGCAGTACTACTAAGGTGGCTCTACTGCTACTAAAATGGTTTATTGGGTGCAGTCTACTCCGTAGTAGACCCAATATTTGTCGCGATTGCTAGTGAACTCAGGAAAGGTATACTTTTTAAAAGGCAAACTTTACTCGTTACTCTACTTATAAAAGAAGCTTCATAATAACGATATCATTTCACATTCTAAGAACACATAAGGTTAGTACAAAAATAAAACTCCCGTCTCTGATAAACTAACTTTGAGTTTATTTTTACCATTTACACTTGACAATGCATTCGAAATCTGTTGTGACTGCGGTGTTGCGTAGCGCGTAGCACGCGCGTAGAGTGGGCTACGCACACGGCATGTATGGCAAAATAACGCGCTGTGATTGGCCGAAGCCGCTACGACCACATGTGCGTGGGCAAACAGAGAATTGACACAAGGACATATTTTACGCAAATTATGATAAACAATTATATAAATAGGAGTGCTTATAATTAAGCAGATAACCAACTTAAAATATTTAGTATAGCTAACAATACAGTTCAGGCTCCCTGTTGACATCATTGGATTTCATAATAACCTAAAGATATTGAAAGTCGAATTACTCGTATGTATTGATAATAACAATTTTCGTTTAGTTAAATTAGTAGGAACGGTACATTTCGCTAGTAAAGAATTTTAAAATAATTTTTAGTATTACAGTATTAGGAACTATCATAGACATGATTGTGACTACGTTTACGACCGTAAAAATGTCAGTAACATTACCTAGGGGATTATGGATGTATACATATGTAAAGGTTTCGAGAATAACAAAATATGATCAAGGTTTACAAAAATTTACAAATAATAAAACTAAGAGATTCTATACAAATAAACAAACAACATGCCCGCGGCGTACCTCTAAGTAGCAGATACAACAGACTAATCCGAATAAATCTTAAATATTAAAATTTGTATTCGGAAAGTATAGTGAAACTCTAGATGCGATAATATTGAAATATACATAGGAACCATGATTCATTCCGCGGCACCGGACCGCGGAGACACAACATCGCACTACCGACATGTCCACCTACGCTAACTCAAACTTACACATACTGCGGCGCCCGCCTCCCCACCTTGGTAGGGACGACTGCGGCACCTACAACACCTCAATACGAGCTATGTATCTCAATAAATATACTAAACGCTAAAATCACTAAAACAAAATAATCATGTTGTAAAACGCGCGCCGCCGCTTGGGGCTACGCTCGAGTGCGTTCGCATCTTGCGCGTCTCCTCTGTCGTATACATGTATTTCAATCCGCCATCCATCAAACGTTTAATGACATTCATCTCAGTGCTAGTACGCATTCTGCTAAAATATTCTGTGTTATCGCGTGTCGAATAAAATTTTGATCAATAAAACGTTGCTGTAACCCCAGACGCCTCGGGAGAGTTGTAAAGCGATCCGGAGACGCGGCGCTCGAGCGGCGCCCCGCGCGCGTGCCCATACAGATAACAAGGACCGCCGGCTGCCGGCGGTATAAAACATTGCACTTTACCAAAAAACAAACTCAATGTTGTAGTAGGATCCACTCGTAGATAAAATATTGTAGTAAAACTCCGCTAGATAAAATGTAAATATGTAAAATATTTTTAAATAACGTGATCTGTGCCATCGAAAATATAAGGGACTCACGCACACAGTAAAGCGATGGATATAGACGCGAGCGGGGACGAGCCCCGAGGCTCGGGGCGCGCGGCCCGCCACCGCATATACCTCCATCCCTTAGACTCACTTACGCCACTACTAATAATCATTACAATATCAATAAAAATTCAAGAATCACACTTAGTTCCAAAATAAACTCACTTGTATGCGAGGTAGGCTGAGCGCTGACGCGCAGCCCGAGTTTCGAGTTCGTTCGTTTTGGAAAAGTTAGCTACGATAATAATATTATAATTAACTGTTACCAATAAGCCTACGCGGTATCGTCGCATCTCCGCGGGCGCGGCGAAGAGCTGCGCTGTTGCGGGTGCGAGTCTCGCGCCCTCTTGCATGCCACGTACCGCCGGTCGTACTACCGCGTATCGCGATGGATGCATTTTGGCCTACAGACACACGGCGTAGCACCTTGTCGAAAGATATTCTCTTTGCAGCGGTGCGATACTGTGAGTAACATGCTATGATTGTAGTGGAAGCTGAGATGAGCGCGCCTCTACGGCGGGAGATGGAGTTCCCGAGCCCGGAGACCGCGAGAGAGGACGACCGCTCTACTGCCTAACATACGTACCTAACTTCGCTTCATGTTTAAAAAAATCATATACGTATATCACTATATATATCTTCATACATTTACGATGCGTCAGGAACTTCTTACGAGAACGTATCTATGCCTAAAATTAGAACGATTATATGTATGTATTACATAGCTTTAAACAATTAAATCGTAATTATCAATATCGATAATATTATATGCATAAAGATAGGAACTTGCTTTCCTGGGAGTTGATGTTCAAGAGTGAGAGGCGCCAGCACGGCCGCGTCGTCGCGCGCCGCAACGATAAACGTATATAATAAAACCTGTCTAACGTATGATATGAAGTGCGGGCGCGCGCGCGGCCGCGCGGCGCTGCCGCCGCCGCCTCCCAGTGCGCGGCGCGCGGCCGGAGCCGGCCGACAGGAACACGAGCGCCTCACGGCCACCACTACGAGAGTACATTATAAAAACGGGACAACAACGGCCGGCTCCACATTAACCTAACTTATATGACTACAAGCTTTAAATGTATAACTAGGAAAGTGCCACTTCCGCGACGACATTCATTAACGAAAAGAAGCATTAAGATCTAATAGTGAACTGCTGCGTTGTCGGACAACGGAGAGAGCGTGGGGCTCTATAGTAGTAACTATACATTTCGTGTGTGTAGGATTAATGGCCAGCGCTGGCAAGCGGCATCTCGCCGGGGGGTGGAAATCGCGGCCCTGGAGCACAAAAATTTGCATTAGGGTCCTTTGGTGTAGCTGATTCCTGCGCAGCGCGGGCTGCTAGCAGCGTGATTTGATTGACGACGTCCTCCATCTCGTGAGTAAGTGGCTCAGGCTGCGTTGGTACAGGTGGCGGGGGAGCTGCGTTGCGAAGATGAGCTTCTGTTTCAGCGTGGCGACGGAACTCTATCGCGGTGCGGAAGCGCTCGCCAGTACACGCGCGGCACTCCAGCGCGGGCTGCACTACGCGGATGACACCGCGTGATGTTTCACGGCCGGCGTAACATGAGCGTGCTTGGTGAGCCTGCAGTGGCACGGGGGATGGAAAGGCCACTTTGCAGTGCTTGCAAACGTAGCACAGGTCAAAGTCAAGCTCGCGTGCACCTGCCGGTGGCTCGGTAGCGGGTGGTGGAAGGCGCAGTGTGGAAGCGCCGGGATCAGCTGCGATGTGCCGTATCTGCTCCAGAGTGGTGGCTGGCAGCTGAAGCACAGTCGCACCATTGCCTGTTTCTACGATGAGCCCCTGAGGTTGAGGCTGCAGAGAGTTCTGGTTGCCTGCAACAACATAATAAAATTCTTTTATTGATCTTTCATAAAGATCTTTAGCAGATACGCACTAAATTAACAAAAGCTCATTGTTGGTATTGATATCTCTTATATAATAGCATCGAACAGAATGTAAGCAATGAATGTTTGCCTTTCTCGTAGTAAAAAAAGGCAAAGTTAAAAACAATGCATTGTCTCATACGCGCATCTCCTGTCTATTACACATACGTGTAGTAGACAGAACATGCGTACATGTAGTAGACATAAGCAGCGAGGTGTCGAGGCGTCGGACAGTGGCGTTGCAAAGGGGTTAATCCACTTATGCGGGGTCAGTCCGTAGCCATGAACTGACCTTTCGTTACTCGCGGCTTATCGTTTTTCAACTATATATTGTATTTTGTTTCCAATATTAACTGTTTACACTAAGTATTTATTTGGTAAAGATAACCAGCAGCGTTTCTTAAATAATAAAAAATAAAATAATATTTTTTGTTTATAGGCCAATTGCTCCATGTAATCTAAAAACAGACAGTAACAAAAAGGTAATGTCTATATAATTCATTAAGAAGACTGATAGTTGTTATGTGTGTGTAATTCAAGGCACAGTAGTGGTTAGCTGTTAATTGTTCAATCGTAAATAAAAATAGATTGGAACAGAACGATACCTCCAATGAACACTACACCAACTTAATGTTTGGTCGTTTTTTGTTTCTCATTGGAGGTATCAAGAACATATTTTTTGTGTCATATAAGTCATATTAGCCTAATCGAGAAAGACTTTTTCCAAAATTAAATAGTCTACGAAAGTTTATTAGTTCTTCACAAAACAAACCTAAAATCCTTAAGAAAAACAAACCTCGGGCAATTCCCAATTTGGCATACCATTGTCTCGCTCGTTTAGCACCAGGATAAGCACTCGATTGTAGATGCGTGATGCGTTTCTAACGAGCCCATGTAATTGATACGAGATTATGCGGACTATATTCACGAATGCATAATACATGCCTTTCGAGCCCGTTTTATATCACTGAGAAGTTCAAGTTGAAATAACGAACTAGGTACAGCCAATGTTACACTAGGTGCGCACAATTTTATGCTGTATGGACTCTGAGGAAAGCCTTCTACAGGGAGGGTGTTTTCGATCACACTTTTACATCAATGAAACAAAATTTCGAATTCGGCGTGTACATTGATGCAGGATAGTATGAAAGTTATAGACTTCAGCTAAATTCGTAAACATCGTAACTTCGTTGATGTGAACTTAGGCACAAAATACATAATTACAAGAAAAAAAAAAAAAAAATTAAGAATAACTTAAAAAAGGTGATTCAAAAATCTCTCACTAGATGTCACTAGCGGCGACGAATGCCGAAAGCTGTTACAAAGATCTATAACAAAAACACGTATGAGAATTTCGACAGTTCGGTAAGGATCCGTAGCTCAGTTGGTACAGAGCAATGCTGCATGCATGTGGGTTCAAGTCCCACTGGGTCGCCAAAAAAAATATGTTTGTGTGTTAGATCTTTGTATTCATGATCGTAACAAAAATTAAATTGACAATCTATGATTATACCTTTATTTTCACCGTATAAGTTAATGTTGCGTGTAGTTCGATGTGGCCAAAGTTAATTTTGCATTCTTTTTTCAGAAAAAGTTAAAGGGCTATTAAATACCTAATGTTTGATTCTATTTTACAGATTTAGGATAAGGGTCTCTCGTTCACGATTCCGTCAAGTTACTTTAGAGCACAAATAGAGTATTCCTAACGTAAAGGTTTCGGATCACAATCCTTAAACCGAGTGGAGTCTCGCCCTAATCGAAGCTGGATTTGTTGAATAATGTCGCGTGAAACGGAGCGTGCGTTTCAATCAGCTCCCAGCGATCGATCGTCGATTGGTCCCCAACCAAGATCAGTATTTTATGTTGGTATTCAAATGTTTTGAGCAATGTTTGTGAGCTTTATAAAAATCACATTCAAATATATCTTGACAAGGCAACTTGGAAATGTTTTAGCTTAAGTATTTAGAAAAGCCCTTAACATGTCAAATTACTAATGAGGCCTACAAAGATTCATCTCTACAAAACAGTAATTAGGCCAATCTTAATATGTTGGTGTGAAACATGGCCACTAGAGCATTTGCGCACTACATGTGAATCGTATCAGTTCCGAATACGAGAAATGTCAAAGGGATTATTAGCATTTTATCTCTCACAAGCGATATTCGTATTTTCTCGGATTTATTTTTATTTATTTATTTATTTATTTTATTTATTATTATTATTATACGGACTTAGTGCACAAGTGACGTTAGAAGTGGGTCCGAGTTTTCTAAATTTGTATAGTATCAAATTCGGCACGATATACGAATAACACGAATCGAATGCAATGAGCAAAGCGCGCTAACATTGAACGAAGAACATAAATTATTATTGGTGGTGGAACGCAAGATATTCCGAAACATTCAGGGACCAGTCAAAGGAGAATTCGGAAACTGGAGGGCCAGATTCTTTTGAGTGATCGAAGAGCTAGCATCTGAGCCGAACTTAATCGGGGAAATAAAATCCGCTCGACTTCGCTGGCCATATGGAAAGAATGGGAGAGGATCGAGCTGCCAAAAGAGCGTATTTGTGGCAACCTACGGGTCATCGTCTAGTAAGGCGTCTGAGATATTGTTGAAAGGATGGAGTTGCCAAATACCTGAAGAACCTGAATGTCCCCGAATGGTCGGAACTGGCACAAGACCGAAAGAAATGGCGTACTTTGGTAATGGAGGTCAAGAATAAGTAGGAGAAGTAGTATTTAGAAAAAAAAGTAATCAAAGCAAGATGAATGAACCGGTTGGTTTCTTTTATATGGATGATATACAATTGTCATCGACGCAAAAGTAACCCTTTCGAAGCAATTTACACTAAAGAGCTAGGCGACAGCAATTGAATCTAACTCTGACCATAATTGCTATAACGCGCACTATTTATCAAGCGGAGCCGGAGCGTCAAAGCGCGGCCGTGACGTTAATTCTCAACCCTTTCTGCCAATTAGTTTCAGAATAGCCACACCATTGTACTGTTCCACCGACCACACATCGGCCTTTATATCCTATAATTTAAAATCTAGATTTAAGTCCTATACGTTTAGTTCAGAGGTGAGTTTTGTTTGCACCCAGTTAGGTCGGTTAGTCCGGTGGCCAGGTTTAAGTCAAAAGGCTTCTTAATCCGGACTTGTAGGTCGTTACGCGTTATTATAACGCGGGTAGAGTTGGCTATTTCTTTGCTCATTTACATCTCATTAAGGATGCTATTATTGGACTATAGGACGCATAATGCGGCCTTTCTTCGCAGTTCTTAAGCTTTTTTCAGGGTTGTTTGTTTTTGCACTTATTTTTAATGATGGTATCGTAATTCTTGAAAGGCGCGCGTACCTTGTAACATATTATTATAATTTATAATCAACGAAGTGAAGTCGTTATTAATTGACGGTCCCGAAAATTAAATGAAGTAGGTACCAAAAGACATTTAAAAATTTTAAATATTTTGGAATAGTATTCATACAAATAAATCATTCTATTTATTATGAAGTTCCACTGTGAGTTAAGAAAAAACGAATTCTAAGTATTAAAATATCGCGATGTTCAATTGTATTATTAATTCAAAATCCAAAGGTGGTAATTTTGTTTTTCTTCTTATTTTTTGAGGTGATTTGCAACAATGTTATCTCCAACTATTGAAAATATGTTACAGAAGCAGCCCAGCTCCTTGTGAAAGAAATCATCCAGTGAGCTACTGCCACCTTACCTATTTCTACCCTCAAACAGTAATCAATAAGTGAGCAATACTGCGTTACGACTTTGAAGGGTAAGGCTGTTGGTGAAATTACAGTTACATGGGACTTGTTAACTTATGTCTCAGGGCGACAGGCGCATTAACGGTGCCCCTAAGGTCTTTGCAATTTGAAGCTCTGGGTGGCACTGTAACTGTTATGGACAGGCGGTCGTTTACCACCAGGCTCACGACTTGTTCGTCCTGTCACTTGGTATAAAAAAGTGTTATTTTGATCAGGTAATTATTAAAAAAAGTGATGATTGAATAAATAATTCCGTAACATTATCTTATAATTATACGTGTACGGCTTATAATTTGTCTTTTATTAGAGCGAATGCGCACTACATCCGATTCGTGTCAGTTCCGAATCCGAGAAACGACGGTCTAAATGTCACAGGTATCATTTTATCTCTCGGTGTACAAGCGAATGCACTAAGAGTATAATGACTAAAATCCGAGTCACTCCAGTAGGCATTTTATCTGAACATGTAACCTCCCGGATTTTACGTTGCGATTTCGTTTATTAGCCGCCTCAATTACCAGTGGCCGTATTCGGAGCGTCCAGCTACGCGTAAGGACAAAGATGGACCGATACCAGTCCGTCAACAGAGATGGATGGTAATTAAACTAGGCTTAAACCAGAACGGAAACTGACCTTCCTTCAACTTGGCTATGTTTAAAACGTAGGCAATGTGACGGTAGATATGAATAATTTAGTGTAGTTTGCTTACAGAAGAGTTCAGACAACTAAATATCAATTTAGTTGTCTGCTATTTCTTAATTGCTTTCAAATCTTTAGTACCATATTACACAGGATAATTAGGCTGTTGATTGCAAATCAAGGAGAAATGGTATCGTGGTTGCGTATGCTTTGAAGCGTGTGTCTAAGTCTATTTTGGGTCTCACTTCACCTTAGGGTGGTTGGTTTGAATCGCAAATAGAAAAAAAAATCGACCCACATTTTTTTTCAATTCCCATCCGCCAAAGCCGTACAACGTTCTTCGTTGTCTCTTTAATTCATAGATTATATCCATGGCCGTAACGGTTTTTCTTTTCACATGCTCCGTGTAAGTTACAGCATCACGAATGACATTTTCTAAAAATACTTTCAAAACGACCTCTTCTTGCTAATCTCCTAATTGCAGGTTTTGTTATGCCCTGGATGTTATTTATCTTTATGAACTTTTCTG